TTAAAAAAAAAAAAAATTGGTAAAATTTGGGGTTTTTAGCCCCGAAATTTCGCTGGGAATTTGATTTTGGCACCAAAAAAATTCGATTTCAGCACCAAAAATTTCGGTTTTAACCCCAAAATTCTCCTTGAAAAGGTAAAAAATCCTCAAAAATTCAATTTAAATTCATTTTAAACCCAAAAAATTCATTTTTAATTTAATTTAAATTTATTTAAACCCAAAAAATTCACTTTAAATCCCCAAAAACCCCAAAACTTTCACTTTTAACCCCAAAAATTAATTTTAAACCCTAAAAAATTCATTTTTAATTCATTTTAAATTCATTTTAAATCCAAAAAAATCATTTTAAATTCAATTTAAATCAATTTAAACCCCAAAAATTCAATTTAAATCCCCAAAAATTTCATTTTAAACCCCAAAAAATTCATTTTTAATTCACTTTAAATCTCAAAATCCCCAAAATTTGACTTTAAAACCCCAAAAAATTCACTTTAAATTCACTTAAAACCCAAAAGTTTCACTTTTAACCCCAAAAATTCATTTTTAATTCACTTTAAATTCACTTAAAACCCCAAAATTCACTTTAATTTCACTTTTAACCCCAAAATTTTCAGTTTTTCCCCCAAAATTTCACTTTAAATCATTTAATTCCCATTTTTTCCTCATTTTTGAATGTTTTTTTACCGATTTCCCTCCTTTTCACCCCAAATAAAAAAAGAAACATTTTGGGTGTTTTTTAATTCCATTTTTTTAATTTTTATTTCTTTGTTTTTTTTTTCTCCTTTCCCAAAACGACCCCAAAAAAACCCAAAAAAATTTTATATAAAAAACCCAAAAATTGGGAAAAAAAACCAAAAAAAAGCCCAAAAAACACCAAAAAAAATTAAAGAAAATTCAGAAAAAAAACCTTAAAATGCCCCAAAAAATTAAAAAAAAAATAAAACAAAAAATACCAAAACTGCACCAAAAAACCCCGAAAAATCCCGAAAATAAACCAAAAAAAAACTCTAAAAAAACCCAAAAAAACTCCCAAAAAAATCTCAAAAAAAACCCAAAAAAACCCTAAAAAAAATCCCAAAAATACCCAAAAAAAACTTAAAAGAAAACCCAAAAAAACTCCCAAAAAAACCTAAAAATGCCCCAAAAAATCCCTTTAAAAACCCCCAAAAAAACTCCCAAAAAACTGAAAAAAAACCCCAAAAACAAAAAGAAAAAACTCCAAAAATCCCACAAAAAAAAGAAAAAAACCCCTAAAAAAATCCCCAAAAAACCTCAAAATAAACCCAAAAAAATCAGAAAAAAACTTTAAAAAACCCCAAAAAAATCCCCAAAAAACTGAGAAAAAAGAACATTCAATAGACAAAATAAACTTTAAAAAATCCCATAAAATAACCCAAAAAAAACCCCAAAAAACCCAAAAAAAACCTCCCAAAAAACCTGAAAAAAAACCCAAAAAAATGCAAAAAAATCATGAAAAATCCCAAAAAAACCCCCAAAAAATTTCCCAAAAAAAACCCCAAAAAAATCAAAATAACGCAAAAAAACCCTCAAAAAACTTAAATAAAATAAAAAAAAAACTACAAAAAATCTCCAAAAAAATCCCAAAAAATCCCAAAAAATCCCCAGAACGAAACCCCAGAGAAAGGCGCCGGAATGGGCCGGAATGTTCCGGAACTCAGAGGTTTTTGGGTTTGGAGATGATGCCGTCGGGGTAATGCTGCTTGAACTGCGCCACCACGTCGGGGTCCAGCAGGTGAATCCCGTCCAGCTGATTGCCCAGGGTGATCCTGCAACGGCGCCCCAAAAGTCACCAAAACCAGCCCAAAACCTGACCAAAACCTGACCAAAACCTGACCAAAACCTGCCCAAAACCTGACCAAAACCTGCCCAAAATGTTCCCAAAACCTGCCCAAAACCTGCCCAAAACCTGCCCAAAATGTTCCCAAAACCTTCCCAAAACCTGCCCCAAAAATCACCAAAATGTTCCCAAATAACTCCCAAAAAATCCCCCAAAAAATCCCCCAAAAGTCACCAAAACCTTCCCAAAACCTGCCCAAAATCTTCCCAAAACCTGCCCAAAATGTTCCACAAAAATCCCAAAAAAAATCCCAAAAAAACCCCCAAAAAATCAAAAAAATAGCACCCAAAAAAACCCCCAAAAATCACCAAAACCTGCCCAAAAATCACCAAAACCTGCCCAAAACCTGCCCAAAAAATCCCCAAAATGTTCCCAAATAACTCCCAAAAAATCCCAAAAAAAATCACCAAAACCTGCCCAAAACCTGCCCAAAAATCACCAAAACCTGCCCAAAATGTTCCCAAAACCTGCCCCAAAAAATCCCAAAAAATCCCCCAAAAAACCCCCCAAAAGTCACCAAAACCTTCCCAAAACCTGCCCAAAATCTTCCCAAAACCTGCCCAAAATGTTCCACAAAAATCCCAAAAAAAATCCCAAAAAAACCCCCAAAAAATCAAAAAAATAGCACCCAAAAAAACCCCCAAAAATCACCAAAACCTGCCCAAAACCTGCCCAAAAAATCCCCAAAATGTTCCCAAATAACTCCCAAAAAATCCCAAAAAAAATCACCAAAACCTTCCCAAAAATCACCAAAACCTTCTCAAAACATTCCCAAAATTTTCCCAAATTACACACAAAAAATCCCAAAAAAATCCCAAAAAAACCCCAAAAAAATCCCAAAAATACCCCCAAAAAATCAAAAAATAACACCCAAAAAAACCCCCAAAAATCACCAAAACCTTCCCAAACAACGCCAAAAAAATCCCCGAAAAAATCCCAAAAAAACCCCCCAAAAATCACCAAAACCTTCCCAAAACCTTCCCAAATAACGCCCAAAAAATCCCAAAAAAACGCCAAAAAATTACCAAAAAACAGCCCAAAAAAAAATCCCAAAAATCACCAAAAAATTCCCCAAAATCCCAAAAAAATCCCCAAAAAGTCCCCAAAAAAATCCCCAAAAATCCCAAAAAAATTCCCCAAAAAATCCCAAAAAATCCCCAAAAAATTCCCCCAAATTCCCCCAAATCCCCCCAGTTTTGGGCTGACTTTGGGGCATTTTGGTACCAGTTGGGCTGGACGTTGTGGGGGCGGCCGAAGAGTTCGATTTTCCGCGTTCCCGGCGAGAGCCGCTCGATCATCCCGTAAATCTCGTCGGGTTTGTGGCTGGTCGAGCGCACCTGGAGGGGAATCGGGGGAAAATTCCGGAGCTTTTGGGCTTTTCCCGCCTTTTTCTGTCTCTTTCCCGCCTTTTCCCGCCTTTTTTTCCCGCCTTTTCTCGGCTTTTTCCCGCTTTTTCCCCCCCTTTCTTTGTTTTTTCCCGCCTTTTGTCTTTTTCCCGCCTTTTTTCACCTTTTTCCCGCCTTTTCTCAGCTTTTTCCCACCTTTTCCTTTTTTCCCGCCTTTTTCTGGCTTTTTCCCGCCTTTTCTCGGCTTTTTCCCGCTTTTTCCCGCCTTTTGTCCTTTTCCCGCCTTTTTTCACCTTTTTCCCCGTCTTTTCCCGCCTTTTCTCAGCTTTTTCCCACCTTTTCCTTTTTTCCCGCCTTTTTCTGGCTTTTTCCCGCCTTTTCTCGGCTTTTTCCCGCCTTTTCTCAGCTTTTTCCCGCCTTTTCTCAGCTTTTTCCCGCCTTTTCTCAGCTTTTTCCCGCCTTTTCTCAGCTTTTTCCCGCCTTTTCCTTTTTTCCCGCCTTTTTCTGGCTTTTTCCCGCCTTTTCTCGGCTTTTTCCCGCCTTTTTTTCACCTTTTCCTGCTTTTTCCTGGCTTATTCCCGGATTTTGAGGTTGAAATTTCCCGGGGTTTTTTTGGGTTGAAATTCCCGGATTTGGGGTTGAAATTCCCGGATTTTGGGTTGAAATTTCCCGGGGTTTTTTTTTGGGTTGAAACCCCCCCCGTTTTGGGGTGAAATCCCAGGAATTTGGGGCTCACCTCGGCCACGATGACGTCACAATCCAGGCCCCGGTTGAAGCCCTGGGGGTTCCCCTTCACCCCCACCTGGGGGAGGGGAAATTCGGGGGGTTGGGGACCCCAAAATCGGCACAGAGACACCCCAAAAACACCCCAAAAATGCAAAAAACACCCCAAAAACAACCAAAACCACCCAAAAAACACCCCAAAAACCATCCCAAAACACCCCAAAACCCAAAAAACACCCCAAAAACA